TGAGCTTCCAGCACTGCTGCTGGAAAAGGGCTTGCTCAGGTTTATTTTTATATATATTTCAACTATATATAAAATAATATAGTAATGATATATATATATAGTTATATAATAACTTTTAGGCAAGAAAACCCCAGACCATGATGTTTTGGTAATCAGCTGAAACTGATAACCAAAGTCTTGATAATCAGCTGAAAAGAGTTAATGGATTGATGACTTGTGATTGCATGCCAGGGTCACATGCACCGGTTTCTATGGCTTCTAAGTATGAAGATTTAATTTAAAAGGTTGCTTAAAGGTTATTAAAAGGCTTTTGCAGATGAAATTCAGTTTTTTTTGTTTATAATATTAAGCCTTCTGATATATTTTGATATAAACCAAATGTCTTTCTAAAGATATTTTTAAAAATTCAGTATTTGACTATAACACTACACAGGCTTTTAAAGGCTGTGCACTGGAGTTTGTGTTTGCTGTTAGACATTCAGGTTATTTCATGGATGTGTTCAAATCGTGTCTGGATACTCGAGAAGCAGCTCCGACATTCTCGTAGGGGCACTCGCATGTGCGACGCCGTCGGGGTTGAACCCGACCTGCTACAGTGAAAAATATGGCAGAGAACTCTTGGAAATTATCCTTTATTATTGGAAAAGACAAGTAGATTGGTTTGGGAGTAAAACTAGTGGCTTTTTTTGTGAGTCTTATGTTTTTTATTACAGTGTAGAACCTTGATGCTTCAATATAGGCAGAATGCTGACAGTTGTGGTTTAGAGTGCGTGTTTGAAGTACCTCTGCAATCAATTAGCTTGTTGAGAAATGGCATGGAAAATCTAAATGACTTTAAAAACAGTTTTTGAAACTTAATTTGCAACTACTGTGATTTTTAAATGAGGATGGATGGAAAAGTCGTGTTTTCTTGTCCTACGGAGCATCTCAACTATTCTTATCTTTGGATAGTTAGGGTTGCTGCACTTTAATATAGACTTGCTGCCTTATTTATTTTTGTAGAGTGTTGGCCCTTATTTTTCTATTTACTTTAAGCACAAGGTGAATACAAAGCTTGAGTCTTGACGGTGTTATCAGGACTGTAGTAAGTACTGAACAATGCACATTTAAAATACTGCTAGCCTGATGGAGTAACTCCCCTTCCTACAAGCACCATTTTCTCCACCATAACCTTCAGTTTGGGCAGGGGTGCCCACGTGCCTTAGATTGCAGGTCCTTTGGACAGGACCTGCCTTAGGTACTGGCACAGATGTGGTGCCATTAAAACCAAAGAATGCCCAGTACACATTTGTTTCATACAAGTAACATAGATCTAATAACTTTAAGATATATATAGTCCTTTAGCTCCATTTAGAAGTCCTTGTGTAGTAGGCTGCTAGCACTTAGTAATTTAGATACTTTCACTGTGTTAGTTGCTGGGTATTTGTAACCTGTAGATGTCCTGGTTATATTTGGGGTCAGGTAGTTTTAATACATCCTAATAAAAGGTTTTTCTTCCAAGTTAGGATATGTGCTCTACATCAAAATATTTTGCATCCTTAACAGAGAGGAACTGGGGAATTGTATCCTGTGCTCGTGAGAAATTTGACAGTACGGCAAGTTAAATGAAGACAAATAAAATAGATGGCCCTAAAGGCAACCTCATGGACTTTGTCTGATGGACTGCCCTGTGTCTTTTGTCACTGCTGTCCCCCATGCAACAGCCTGCTGCCTTTTAGACTTAATGCAGTTGCTTGTGAATGTGAGCCTTTTAGATGATTTATATTTAAATAACCTAGGTAACTTGAGGAACAGCCACACATACTGTGCTCCAGCCAGCAGGTGGAAACCTCTGGAGAAAAGGTGGGATGGGGAGGAGGAGGAGCAATAGCAGACAGTTACAGGTGGCTGAGGACATGTGTTCAGTGGCCTCATTGGTGCTGCTGCCCGAGCAGCACATGAAAACACATCTGGCTTTTGCTTGGTGCTCTTGAATAGCTCTTTAGAAGAAGCAGAGCTCAGAGTTGTTGTTTGCTGGGGAAATCTGCTTTTGGGCACTGCCTGGCATCCTGGGGCCTTCCTTACACGAATGGAAATAGGGAAGAGTGTTCTCAGAGCCATATCGTTCTGTTACATACACATTTTCTCAGAGTAAAAGTTGCTTAATTAAAAATTAGAAATCAATGTTAGTGTTACCTTTTTGAGGTCTCTATCCCTGTTCCCGGTGTAAGATTATCTCAATTGTTCACCTAGCAATTGCTGTGTAATGCTCGGGCCATAGAAGCTGCAGAATTAATCTGCAGTTGGATATTTTGATAAGGTAAAATCTGTGTGTTTTTTTAAAGACTTTCTCTTTTTTGATTTTATTTTCATACAGTTAGTTTTCTTACCTGCACTAGTGGAAACTTCTGCCCCTTGTTTAACAGGCCAAAGGTGATCGACAGGTTGTATTTTGAGAAACATCCACCAGCAGGAGCACATATCACTTTGAAGATACTAAGATTTCTAATCATCATTCTTACAAAGAAATGGAAATGTATAACTGGTGGACCATGAGGAAGAAATATTAACCTTTTACTGAAAAAGACCCAAACCAGTTCCCCCCACACGTCACTTTTTTGTGTACTTGAAATAAGAAGTCATGAAGAGCTTGGACTTCAGGATTTTGCTGATGTGTTGGTGAATTCCATGAGCAGCTCTCTGCTAATTCATGTCTGAAATTTTGAAGTCATTACTGAACAGAATCAGTTTTCTTGTTTCTGAATGATGAGTCTCGCGTTCTAATCCTGTCCTCTCATTTCATATTTACGTGTACAGTTGGCTGCTCGTAAGGGCTGGAAGCCTCTCTTTCAGCAAGCCTCAGCTTGCACTCAGTAACTTTCCTAATCCTGCCCTTCCTAGGAAGGATGTGATTAGAGCCGAGTGCCAATTATCAGTGATGCTTAGTACTTACATCATAACTGACTCAAATCCACATCCTTTTTAATTAAAATCTAATTATATTTACTCGACCTCTCTCCCCTCAGGGGTGGAAGGGGAAGGGAAGCAATATCCTGGGTTTTGTTGTTATTTAAATGGTTGTGAGTAAGTGAGGAGGAAATCAATATTGCCTGCAGATCTTGTGGTGGTAACAGTGAGGGGTAAAGAGTCTCTTCTAGCACGCAGCAGCCTTCAGGGTAAGGACGGGGGAGGACAACTTATGTAACCCCCCCCTTCTAAACAAATGAATTATATCTGCATTAATTATTGATTTTAGTAACAGCTGCGGTTTTACTCTCCAAATGCGTTTTCTTTAAGTTGAAAAATTGCAAGGAGATGTACGTGGGGTGTGTGGGGGGGTTGTTTTTTGTTGTTGTATTTTGATTTTTGATTTTTGGATAAGCAATCTCCTGCTCAGGCCTCTATTGTAAATTGGGAGCCTAAAGCATCTGGTGTCCAAATCTCTCTGATATGTAATAGTTAAATTGAACCAAGCTGCAATAAGAGTTTTACCAGTGCCTAAGGAAAATACATGACTGTGGTGAGAATGATAAAGCTTTTATCTTCTGGGTAAGACGCTCTGCTGTCACGTGAGGGGACCTGGGCTTGAATTTTCCTTCTCATGTATTGCTTTGTCAACCGAATTGGCTAAAATGCCACTTTCGGGTAGGTAAATTTTTGTCTTTGGGCATTCTTTTAACTGCTGAGCCAATTTCCTCCCTTAGGGATCGATGATTTTACTCTTTTCTTCCTCTGAACCTCCTCACACAGCAGTAGTCAGGCTCCTTTCGTATTTGTTACCTGCTACTTCCACAGCTGACCCTGCCAGCTCGTACCTTAAAACACTACTGCTACCACCATCCGGTAAAAAGAAAAAGCTGTCTAGTGTAGATCAGGAACTCCAGATCTAAGAGATGTGAGATAATCGAAACTTAGGGAGATAAGAATGCAGAAATTTTTATACAAAAAACCCTGATCCCTTGATGCCCATGTTCACCTGGTTATGGTATGTTGAGGGGAGGGATTGAAACGGTCCTGCTTTTGAGAAAAGCAAAAGCAGACCTCAGAGAGAGGCATGCACGTGAGACCAAGTCTACCAGGCAGTTCCTGTCAGGCCTGTACTTGGTTCTTTTTGTATCTTCTGCTTATTTTGGGGCTCTTCGCTGGTTGTCTTATTGGCCTTTGGTGCTTAGTGAAGTCTAAGAACTCGAAGAAAAGGCCTTTGTCGTTAATAAAAGTTGGTCCAATAACTGTTTGTGTTCTGGGCCCTCATTTGGCAATGATACCTGTAGCTTTTTGTGTGCTCCTTCTGCTGTGGGCTTCTATTTTGTCATTCCTCAGTAGGCTAATTCTTACTGATTCGGTGCTTCTGGTGTTTTGATTATTGTTTTAATGCTGACCTCTTGCCTCTGGTTTCTATGAAACGTCCCAGAGAGAGCTGGGACTGCCCTGGGAGGGCAGTGTGCAAGTGCAGAGGCTGTAGAATGGCTTGCAGAAATTTAAAAGGGACAAAGTCAAAATGGAGTTAAACTCATCATTTACAAGCTATGAGCACTGCTCTACAAATAACTGGCTCTATTCTGTAATCCTATGCAAGAAGCTGCCATGTAGCCATTTTTACTGATTAATATGAAGGGAATGGTAGAGTATATAACTCTAGGAAGCATGTTAGCAGTGCGCTTAAAGGATGCTAGAAATAATAATGTGACTTTTTATTTCACTGTGCTGGGTTTTCTTCTGTGTAGAAGAGTTGTGCTATTCATTTTTTTATCTAAGGAAAAAGTAAAATGTGAGTACAAGTACCTGATTTCTTCGGCTCTTTATTTCATCACTCTATTTAGTCAAGTTTGGGCTGTGTTATTAAAAATGCCAAATAGTGTGTCTTGCAAACGTGCCTTTGCCCACAGAGCTCTTGAGTAGCTGTAATATGTGTTAAGAGTGTGAGGCAACAAAATTATCCTGTAGTTCTCTGGACAGTTACATTATCGTAACTTACTTGAGTTCCTTGTACCAGGAGTAATAAAGTACTCTCCATGTTTTAGATGAAGATGACGACTTTGTCAACAAGAGGATTTCCCTGAAACCCAAGGAGAATGGGACGTCAGCAGTTGGTTGCCCAGGAACAACGGCAGTGAGGAAGGAAGATGTGAAACCACGAGGTAAAAGCAAACCTCTCTCCCCAGTGAAACTGATCCCCACCTCGGCCCTCGATTACTTTGGGACAAGTAGCGTCCAGCGATCGGAAAGGAAACTGGTTGCAAGTAAAAGGAAAGAGGTGAGTGGTGGTTATGTTTCGTTTTAGTGGTTTCTCTGTTGCATAGCAGAGCTAAATAGCTTGTTTAATGACTGTAAGAAGCTACTGGATGCTACTTGGCTATTTGATGTTACTTTTTAATAGTCACTGAAGTGTAAGTTCAGTTTTGGTGGCATGTACAGACAGATCAGTTCCTCAAGTACAGCTATAAAGTAGAACTCTCCTCTGTGGAAAGATCAGCACAAAATCGACCATAGTACTCGCATCTATACAGATGATTTAATAAATAAATAAAGGAATTTTCTGAGGTAAATGAATCTCAGAGTGGTTGAGGTTGGAAGGGACCTCTAGAGATCATCTAGTCCAACCCCACTGCTCCAGCAGGGACATCCAGAGCATGGGGCGCAGGGTGGCATCCAGGCAGGTTTGGAAAACCTCCGGAGAAGGAGACTCCACAGCCTAATGGGTAGGATAACTTACTGTGAGTCTGTGGGAAGTGTTTTCCAAAATGTTATGGCACATGTATTTATTGGGTGCCAAAGCCCTAAATAAAATACAGAGGAAATTCTTCAAGTTGTGCAATTATTGCTTTCTCTTCAGAACTGCAAGATGTGGTGACGTCAAAGATGTCCAGCATTGTTGGAAAAAGTGATTTTAAAAACTGTTTTGTGTCGAATAGTGTTGTCTCTTTAACTACTATTAACAAAGGCTTTATTGAGGTTAGAAAGCTAGGAATAAAAAGTTGCATGTCTTATTCTCAGCCCTTTAGGAGTTTGAAGGGTTAGCCCATCTAAAAAGTATACAATATGAATCTTCATAAATTATTATAACTTAATGTTGGGAAATTGAACTCTCGATTTTTCACATATAGCCCTCGCAAAGCAGAGACTGCACGCTGGACGATGAGGCCATTGCCCGACAACTGCAGCTTGATGAGGATTCAGAGGTACAAATGTGTTCTGTGTCGAGCAGTTTTGTTCTGCTATTTTTCTTCCTTAAGAAATGAAGATGTTCTTATGTGTCATCCTGAGAAATCGGCTATTTGATTCTTGTAGGAGATATACCTATATATATGTATATTTTAATAAATATTCTCATTAGATTGATCTTGAACAACAAATAGAGTTTTCCTAAAAAGTAGAACTTATCAGACTTGAGCCTAGAAGATCATGTTTTTCTTTTCACAGCTGGAGAGACAACTGCATGAAGATGAAGAATTTGCTAGAACTTTGGCTATGTTGGATGAAACACCGCAGAAGAAGAAGGTTGAATTCTTTTTAAACTTTGGTTTTAGCAACTGTATTCATAGAATCACAGAATCCTTAAGGTTGCAAGGGACCTTTAGAGGTCATCTTGTCCAACCCCCTGCACACGCAGGGACACGCAGAGCACGAGGCACAGGGTGGTGGCCAAGCAGGTTTGGAAGTTCCTCCGAGGAGGAGTCTCGGGAGCAGTGTTCTTATTTAGGCACCTGAACTTTGTTTGGAGACTTCCAGGCACAAATGCTTTTAAGAACAACAGGGAGGTGTGTGTTTGAAGAGTATCTGCTCATATGTTTTCCTCTGGATTTTTCTCATTTACTGAATCAGTTGACTGACATGAATTTTTTTTCTTTGTGCTATGTTTCCCTTAAAACTTAATTCTATTTGTGATTAATTTAACCTAACTACTATCACAGAATCATTATGCTTGGAAAAGAGCTTCAGGATCATCAAGCCCAACTGTAAACCCATCACCACCATATAGTGGATATATCAAAACTGTCTCTTATGGAGCAATTATGTTTATGTTGAGAGTAGAACTTGCTCATCTATCTTCCAGCCTTTGATAGAGGTTATATATGGTAGGGATCAGCTTTTCAAAGGTGTCTGCTGTGCATGTGCTTCTCTGTCTGATCTTAGCATTGTTTGTTCATTTTTAGCCTCGGAAAGATTCAGAAGAGCAAACAGTTCTGAGCACCAAGAGCAGTCCTAACGTGACAGAAAGATGCAAACGTTCACCAAAAGGTAGACCCCTGAATATAGAAAATATTTCACCAATAATCATAATATTATGGCATATTCTTATATACGTATTTTTTCTTCCCCTGCTTCTCTAGTGAAAGCAGGCAACTCAACAGATGAAGCCAAGAATTATACTGTAAGGGAGCGAAGTACATCTGAAAACTCAAAAGGGTCTCATTTGCCCCCCCAGTCATCTGGTGGTGGAATAGCAAGAGAGTTGGCAGATAAGACCTTGAAACCGAGCTCCAAGCTCGTGGCTCTGAAACAGAAGGATGAGAGCACTGAGAAGCAAAGAGGGGCTCCCAGTGTGTTACCGAAAGAGAAAAATGTTTCAGTGAAAGAAGAGAAGAGAACACCAAAGAAGCAGAAGGTTTCTCCCCAAAAGCCTGAGGTAGGCACTATCAGAAAACATAGTTCACTGTTTGGAAAACAGCATGTGCGTTAGCTCTAGTTTCTGTGTAGTAAAAAGCTCAAAACATACATTGTATTTTCGGAGTTAAAAATAATCAAAATTGCTCAACTTTAAAAGTGCTGATAAAACCTGCATATCATGACAGTCTTGATGGTTAAACATCAAGCAGTGTCTGATACGTTTGGCTAATGTTGTCTTGCATTTGGAGAAGAGGAATCTGTGACTTCTGTGGGGTGCTGTGTGTGAGTTCTGCTTTTTGGAATTCATTAGGAAAACGGTATTTTTAAGAAAGTACTTTACATGTGAGTGTAGGTCTTACCTACAGCTGACTGTCATTTTGGAACAGAGAGGTTATAAATTTAAAAAAAGGTTTTTGAATTAATTGAAAATGCACATGTGGAACCAATGAATCTATAGAAAATTAAGAACAAACTTGGTACATAATTTTTAAAATTTCATTTGGAATCTGTGTTTGAGTATTTCATTGTTTCTCTCTCTCTCTCTCTCTCTCTTTTTTTTTTTTTTTTAAATTTTTTTTTTTATTTCTGCCAAAGTCTATAAGTCCCGAGGACTCTGAAAAGAAACGAATAAATTACCAGGCCTACAGGAGCTTCCTGAACCGTGAGGGTCCAAAAGCTCTGGGCTCAAAAGAGATACCTAAGGTAAATTTGGCTACAGCAGAATTTCTGTATATTTTGTCATGGACTTTTGTGTGACTTTTAAGTGATTTGACAAGCATCAATATAAATAAATATTTTAGAACTTTTTTCCAGGTAGGAAATGCATATTAGAAAAAGCTAAACTGCTTTTTGTAATGCAAAGCAGTGGCCAAATCTAATAAGTATATAGCTTAGAAGTGCTAGCATCTGGTTTATGAAGTGATGATGAAAAACTGTTGCAAATTTTAAGAAATTGAAGGTTTGTCACACATCTGACAGAGCTATGGCTGAAGCACATGGTGCTTACAGTAATACCTGTTCCATCTATCTGTCCTGGCAGTTAATCAGATGTCTGAAGCTTTGGTAGCTATCCATTTTAATAAAGAAAGGTTTATTTTTATATACTTTTTTCAGCTTCTAAAACTAATCTGGGTAGTGTAGACTCATTTTCTATTTCATAGAGTACCTGACATAGTTGTGAGTTAAAAACTTTTGTTTATGGTAGAAAAGTACTTGGCAGAATTGCATCCGTTAAGGGCGTTTCTGCAACATTGTGATTCCCAGGGAGCTGAGAACTGCTTGGAAGGCCTGACCTTTGTCATCACCGGCGTCCTGGAGTCCATCGAGAGAGACGAGGCCAAGTCTCTGATCGAGCGGTACGGAGGGAAAGTAACCGGCAACGTCAGCAAGAAAACCAACTACCTGGTGATGGGGCGGGACTGTGGCCAGGCTAAACGCGAGAAGGTGGGTGCTTCTGTGCCTGGGCTAACTAGTGTCACTTGCTCCCCTCTTAGCTGTCTTTCTGAGTTTGCTTTTTTCTCCTTGTTCATGCTGCTAACTTAGGAGATGCTTGGCTGTGATGCTGCTAACTTAGGAGATGCTTGGCTGTGACATAGACAGTGCATCTCTCAATCTCCATCTATCTAGATATTATCTAGATATCACCTTCTCCCCTCCGCCCTCTATCTAGATATCTAGATCTATACACACACACTTTGACACACTTAGCCCTGGGCCTGTCTCTTTGCGGTGTGCTGTTCAGCAGCAGTTTTATGCCCAATTTTGGCATAAAACTGTGTTTGTTACAGTCCGGCGTTGATGCTGAAGAGGCAGAGAATCCTGTGCAGCATAACGCATCTCGGAGCTGTGGGGAAGGGGAATGAGTTTTAGTGCCTGCAGCTAATGCCGGTGCTGCAAAAGGTTAAATTCTACCTGGATCTCTTATTTTTGATTTTGGGGGTGTGTGTATTCTGTCCTTAGTCTACCTGCAGTATGTAAACAAGTTCCTAGCCTGTTATATTTAGTGAGCAATTGAAATAAGACTCCTTACTGTGATAGGATCATCCTCTTGTTTCGTGCTTGGGGTATCCTTCATCAAGGAACTTCTTTACCTTCTTCAAACTACATTCGTTATTTAAATTTGTAAGTTATAAATCAGGTTTTTATAGATTATGAAAATGAAACAAAGCACTGTAACACAATGATGTAAGTGTGGGTTTTGTTGTTTTCATCGTTTGTGTTCCTACACATTCTCCTTACAGGAAAGGATGTTACTGAAATGGATTATCTAATTCTGTCTGACTTTGCTTCTAATTTTTGTTTTGGCTCCAGGCATCAACCTTAGGGACAAAAGTGCTGGATGAGGATGGCCTCTTTGATCTCATTCGGACTATGCCAGGCAAAAAGTCCAAATACGAATTGGCAGCTGAAATGGAGGTTTGTCTAAAACAAATTCGGGCTTGTAGGTTGGTGTGTGCTGGGTTTAATCGTTCCCTTTTACTCAAAGGGGCTGCTGTTTGGGTAGCTTCAGAGCTGTTCGTTCCAGTAACACTAACTGTGTGACTGTCAGTTTCATCTTCTCTCTTGAAAGAACTGAGAATGGAAGTTTTATATCTGTGTTTTAAGATTTCTACTCTGGAGTCCCTTTTCTGTGAGATCTATTTCAAACCTTTCCTTTTTCTGCTCTGGTTTATTTATTTTAAGTACTTAACATGGGGGGTAGTTGTACCTCTCAGTTTCAGTTTTGACATCATCTCATTGCTTTTTGCAATAAGAAATTGTGACTTTTCAGTTATAAAACTGCAGTAAAAAATGCTAGATTCAGAATAAATTGTGGTCTAATATAAAATTGTACTGTAAACTTGGGATGTAAACAGTATTTTATATAAACAATATATGTATATTAACATACATATATATATTAATATATATGTATATAATAAACCAATATATGTATATAAACCAATATGTATATGCAATAGATAATGTCTTTACATGGCACTTAACCCAACACTAATGAAGGGAAGCAATCACGGAAAACTGCAAAACAGTTGGAAGGTTTTTAGTCAGTAGTAGCTGGTGAAATCTCGTCTGCTGCCGGGGACGCTGCTCAGGGCCAGCGTGGCCCGGCCCTTCTGCAGCAGCTGGGCACGAGTTGTGCAGGTGGGTAGTTCAGCCCCGTTGGTTTCCAGAGCAAAAGCAGCTCTGCTCCTGATTGCACAGAGCAGCTCTCGCAGCCTTTGATTTTGGTTTGGGCTGAACCCTTTCTGTTCACTTACCTTCAAAGAGCAGCTGTGGTGCTGTTTGAACGTGTGCACGTGAAGAGTGCTCCCTTCTTGCAGAAGGGGTTGTTGCCCCTTGCTGCTGCTTCCAGCCGAGTGCTGCCGGTGCCTTTCCAGGGGCGACTCTCCCGTGACATTCCCCCTTCTACAGTGGCTCATGTTGCACAGAGGACCTTTGAGATCTACTGTTGAGGTGCTCTGTTTATTTCCCGACACGCCAGCTTTGTCTGTTAACCTCTCCTAGACGTGTATTCAAAGGCTGCATGTTTACTTAGTGTGTAATTCAAATAAAATCCATTCACCTTTCTCACGTTTGTTCCCTCACCCTGCCCCTCCAAGGCAAGAAAAGCAGAGCCAAAACAGGAAAAGACACCACAGAAAAGTGAAGCTGGAAGAAGAAAATTTAGTCCCTTCAAAAGAGAAGCGGATAATAAAAAAAAGAATTCCACTCCTGATAAAGGAGGTACCCGCAGGTCTGTCAGGAAGGAAGCTCCTGCTGTGCGAAGCCTTGCAGACTTGGAACCACAACCTGCAGAGAGGAAAGGAGCCCCGAAGCCCGAGGGGCCCTCGGTTTCCGAGAGGAGCGAGGATGGAGCGGGGAAGCTGCTGTGGGTAGATAAGTACCGGCCTACGTCGCTCAAGGCAATAATTGGGCAGCAGGGCGAGCAGAGCTGTGCCAATAAACTGCTCCGGTGGCTGCGGAACTGGCACCAGAGCACATCTGAGGACAGGCAAGGTGAGGGCACCGTGGCCTTTTGTCCCTGCTGCGGGTCCCTCCGTGGCGGCCGGGCTGGGAGAGCGGCCCCACAACCTGCAGGGAGGGCGAAGGGCTCCCAGAGCAGCTGAGCTGGGGGGCAGTCGGCTCTTCGCTGCGGTGCCCCTCTCTAAATGTATTGGAAGTTGGGGTATTTTTATATGTTTTCATGGAATCACAGAATTGAGGTTGAATGGGACCTGTAGAGATCATCTAGTTTTCTTCCAGAAGAAATCAAAATAAGCAAATAGGAATATATATTAAAAAGGCCCTATGTTCAGCCTGTTGAATGTCTCTTAACGAGAAAGAACGTTAGCCAGTGCTCACCTTGGCACATGGGGAAAACATGGAATGGCAAAATACCTGGGAAGAGATGAATGGTTAAGGTCCATGTTCTGGCTGACTCGCAGCCTCTGCCATGCATAGGGTGTAATTCTGTAGGCAGTGGCGGTCTCTGTTCTGTTTTAATCACAGGCACATTAAAGAAAGAAGAAAAATACTATATATGCTTAAATACAGCTGTAGAGTTCTTCCTATTTTCTTAGGATTTAGATAATTGCTCAAATGTTTCAAATTATTACAGCAATAGCACGCTAATGTTTTCAGTCTAGAATCGTGGTGAGTCTTAAGCTAAATAGTTTAAACTGTTTAAATTCCCCGAATGCTTTAGATGCAGATGATTTTTTTTGATGTTAATAACTATCACAAGAACAGAAAAGTTTTAAAGTGGTTTTAAAACTTGATATCTGTAAAGGTTTACATAGATACTTAGGTATATTTTACTAAAAAGCTAAGTCCTGGCATCTTCTTTTCTAGCAAAGACCAGTAAATTTGGAGGCAAAGATGACGGTGCTAGTTTTAAAGCAGCCTTACTCTCCGGTCCCCCAGGAGTTGGGAAAACTACTACAGCCGTTTTAGTTTGCAAGGTGAGCTCAAATTAACCTGTGTTCCCAGGAGTGTTTGTTAACGTGTCGGTTGTGTAACTGGATGTGTCCGGGTGGATCTGCCCTGGAGTGGAAGGGTTCCCCCAGCCGAGCTCCACGCGCTCCAGCAGGGGAACAGACAGCAGCGTGCGGGTATTTGGGTGTATTATTTCTGGTCTGGGAGAGTGCTACAAGAGGTCTTTCCTGAAGCTTTGAAATGTTGTTCCTGGTGCTCGGTGTGTTTATGCTGCTCTTAATGGTCTGCCTTGCGTGTGGTTTGTGTTTGCGTTAGGAGCTGGGCTACAGCTACGTGGAGCTGAATGCCAGCGACACGCGCAGCAAGAACAGCCTGAAGGAGGTGGTGGCGGAGTCGCTCAACAACACCAGCATCAGGGGCTTCTGTTCTGGTACGGCTCTGGTCGAGGGAGGGGGTTCTTCCTTTAAGAGCCTTCCTACCGGAGGGACAGAGCTTTCTCCCACTGGGACAAAGTTAAGGAGAACTTGGGAACTTAAGGCTCATGTTTAATATGAATAGTTTAACTTAATGAGATGTTGTGCTTCATCTTCAAGGTAACATTAATTGCTATTTAGGGAATCAATTCTTACTTAGTAATTTGTGCAGTTTCTGCTATTTGCTGCAATTGCTCTTTTGTTGCATGATACTCAATTCTTGGAAGAAGTGGTACAGTCAGCTCCATTTTGTGAGCATAGGGCTGTAGGAGGCAGAGTGAGAGGTTCACGGCATTGCACTTGTCCAGTGGTTTCTAGAAACTACCTTCTCTATAGAGGTTGGGTAAACCTCTGAGCAAGACTCGGTTTTGTTCCCTAGAACAAAATGCACCTTTGGGGTCTCATGTTCTTGTCCGTGTTTTGCAGGCACTTCCTCATCGGTTAGTGGGAAGCACGTGTTGATCATGGATGAAGTGGATGGGATGGCCGGCAATGAAGACAGAGGAGGGATTCAGGTGAAACTGCTATGATTATTAGTTAATACTAGTGCTAAAAGTTCATTCCATTTACCAGCACAAAGTACTTAGAAGTCTGTATAGTAACTGTTTATGGGATAAGGACAACACATTACCTATTACCTATTCTTACTTATTTTGTAAGTCTTCTAACATGAAGGTAAGCTTAGTGCCTCAGTAGATTAAAACAGACACTTCTGGGATGTGTGTGTGTGTGCACACGCACGCGCTGTCACTGGTTGCCTCTGGACAGGTGAATTTAACTCCAGTTCTCTGCAGCTGGTTTTTACCTGCAGAGGAAGATCTGTTATCTAGCTGGGACAATTGCTCCCTCCAGTAGGCAGTAGCACTGAATAAATAAAGTGCTACTGTCAGTATTATACTTCATTCCCCTGTGCAGCTCTGGATTTAACTTTTAAACATTTCCTGTGGCCATATGCAGCAATACCCTGACAGTAAAGGACACGCAGACCTTTAGCTCAGACTTACAGTGCAGTAATATAAAGTTGAACTAAATTTCAAGTTCATTTACAGGAAACCCACTAACACTGATCCTTTTGGACAGGGAAGGGGTGGTCGCTCGGCTGCTTCTGTTGTTTGTGGCAAAGGGCCCTGGAAAAGGCTCCCTGTGGGCTGGGGCCAGGTCACAAGGGTCTCTGGGAAGGGGAATGTTGGGCTCCAGGTGGGTGGCTGAGCTCTGCGCTGCTCTTTGAGCAGAGGCCTAAGTAGGGCTGCTGGAAGCAGGTGGTTTGTGAGACTGCAGAGTTGCTGCAGCTGAAGAGAACAGCAAGCGAGAAGCAGGGGAGGGGAGCCGGTTTTTGCCCTGGGGAAGGCTGATCACAGGCGTCTTACAGACTTGCATCCATCAGTGTGACAGGCTAAACCTTTTTGTCTGGGCAATCCGATGTGACTGTTGTTTTATTGGCAGGAGTTGATTGGTCTGATCAGACACACGAAGATACCCATCATCTGTATGTGCAACGACCGAAACCATCCCAAGATCCGTTCTCTGTCCCACTACTGTTTTGATCTTCGTTTTCAGAGACCTCGCCTAGAGCAGATTAAGGTGAGAAGGCTGCTCGGGTGGGCTGCACCGAGTTCTCAGCGGGGAAACTCTGTCCTCACGTGTCAGAATTCACACAGAAATGAGACCACCACTTTTACCACCTTAGAGAGTAGCTCTGCCTTTCAGAAGGAGTTGTCTGAGTTGGTCTCAGGTATTCCAGATTTAGACGCTTATCTTAAAACAAACTTAACTTGAATATATTTACTAACCTTTTTAATAATCTATCTATTCACCTATGAATGATGCTTAAGATATATATTCATGGAGGGCTATTAAATGTCTTAAAAACTAGGAAACAGTGATGTTTGACAGGAGTCTGTGAATCTTTTCTGTAGAGGATGGATTCATTGGAATCCTTTAGTGACTTTTTAAAAATACTGTGTGTGTTACAGGGTGCCATGATGTCTATTGCCTTTAAGGAAGGCTTAAAAATCCCACCACCTGCTATGCAAGAGATAATCTTGGCAGCAAATCAGGACATCAGACAGGTTAGTACCACTTCAGTGTCACTGGATTCAAGTCACTGACTTCAGTGCAGGATTTGAGCAGTATGACATGATATTTTTTATTTTTTTCCTGAAGTTTTTCTTTTAAATCTATTTAAGTTACCAATTTGTCCATTCTGTTCTGTAGATTTTGCATAATCTTAATATGTGGTGTGCAAAAGATAAGTCATTAACTTACGATGAGGCGAAAACAGATGCCAGCAAAGCCAAAAAGGACATTAAACTGGTAAGTATAGCATCCTGGACTGGTTTGTAGCCACATTTTGATAAAAGAAGATGCTTTTAAAGCCCAGTGCCTAGTTTAAAAATAAAGCACTAGTAGTCTAATTGATAACTGAGCCAACTGATGTTTTGAGCATGTGTCACCTTCCTCTGTGGTAAATTCAAGACTGGGCATCTCTCTTGATGTACTGGCCTTTTTGTATAAGCTGTGATGATAAAGCTAATTCTTCTTGTCCCAAGTTCTCTGGCTAGCAGATAATGGTCTTGATTCATCTTGGAAGTACAACTCTTATTTTTGAAAAATAGGACTCTGAGTCGACCTGTGATGTCTTTTATTGTCTGTGGTGAATTGCAACCCACTTACTGCTTGAACTGTTATTTGCTTAGGGCCCTTTTGATGTCGTCCGGAAGGTTTTCGCTGCTGGAGAGGAGGCTTCTCATATGTCTCTTATAGACAAATCAGATCTGTTCTTCCATGATTATTCCTTAGCACCTCTCTTTGTCCAAGAGAATTACATACACGTGAAACCGGCTGCTGCTGGGTGAGTTATTCCACACCCTCGTGGAAGTGCCCTTCATGGAGGGGAATTTAATGAGAGTACAGGATGCCTGCATGTTTCTGCATGCTGGTATTATCAAGCTCTTCCTTCTTTTTTTCTCCTAGAGGGAATCTGAAAAAGCACTTGGTGCTGTTGAGTAGGGCAGCTGATAGTATATGTGATGGGGATCTCGTGGACAGACAGATTCGTAGCAAGCAGAACTGGAATCTCCTCCCAACACAGGTGGGTGCTTGACATACCTTTTGTGGGCTTTGAGGGTGCCCTGTATACAAACCTTATCTCTGCAACTTGTTGTCTTAATACAGTTTCCTGGCCTGTGTAGCTGACCTTCCCTGGGGCGTTTTGTGCTGCCCTGGGGAGCAGGGCACTTGTCTGTATCCGTGTGGCTCAGCCCATGCTGTGTATGGTGACATTGAGTTTTCTGAAGCTGTGGAGAGCCTCGAGCTCCCTGGGCTACAGGAACCCACGTAGAGCCAGTTCGGACGTGCGGCTGGAGGGCTGCTCACAGATGGATTTGTGTGCGTCTCACCGGGCCTGTGTTCGGCCCAAGCACAGAGAACTGAACCCTCTTTGTTTTACTTCCTTTCTGATGATGGCTGAACCTTTTGCGTGGCCCATGCTCAGAGGATTATGGCTGGCATCAGCCAGTGCCATAGTAGAATAACTGAAATTCAAAGGGAGCTCTGGAGAGGACCCTGTCCAGCCCCCTGACTAATGCAAGCCCAAGTAGATCAAACTGCTTAGGAAGTTGCCTGGCTGAGTCTGTGTAGCTTCAGATTAGGAGTGTTTCAGTAACTGTGTTATTTAGAAATATTGCCTTTACTGTATTTATCTGTTGGAGACTGGCTTTTAAAACCCGGGTCATTTCACAGATATTAGAAATGCTAATAAATAGAATGGCACAAGAGACAAAGCTGTAACCTTAAGGGGTAGAGCAGAAACAAGCAGTCAAGCAAGAGGTCTGTTAAAGCCGGCTCGGTTTCCAAAGCGTTCGCTGCCACTTTCATTGGAATGACTTGGGTGTTGTGTCCTGGTGTCAGCTTGACCAATTCCCTGTGATCTGAGTCTGGCACGTGTGTTTCAGGCTATTTATTCAAGCGTTCTGCCTGGGGAGCTCATGAGAGGATACATGTCCCAGTTCCCTGTCTTTCCCAGCTGGCTGGGCAAGTTTTCATCCACGGGCAAACACGATCGCATCGTTCAGGAACTGGCAATGCACATGAGTCTCAGGTAATGCTGACATCTCTCTCCTCTTCCTCAAACCGTGTTGGCTTTTCTGTTTTTCACGTAGAGATGTGTTGTTCCCTGCTTCCCAGTTCTGGGTGCTGTGTCCCTTGCATCAGATCCTGCCTCCCCGCAGTGTAACGCGGGAGGGACGGTGCAGCAGGACGTGCCCTGCTCAGGGCGGCTGCTGGGGATGCAGCTGCAGGCTGCTTGTGCTCAAAGTGACTCTCAGTTGCAGCTTTACTTCCCTCTCTCCATTTGTAAAGAACCCAGACGTGCAGGAGGACCCTGAACATGGAGTATCTGCCCTACCTGCGGGACGCCCTCGTTCAGCCCCTGCAAGACCTGGGAACAGACGGCGTGCGGGATGCTGTGGCATTCATGGACTCCTACTGCTTGATGAAAGAAGATGTTGAAAATATCATGGAAATTAGCACCTGGGGAGGCAAACCCAGTCCTTTTTCTAAGCTGGATCCTAAGGTAAGATTGGCCAGTGATCATTTTTTTTTTTTTTTTTTTTTTAATATTTTAAAAAGAAATTCTAGAATGGCAGCAGAGCATGTATGTGCTGCAGCGGCCAAGTCACTTGATTGACTAATCCAGTGTCAAGCACGGAGTGCATTGTGGGCCAGTTGTCAACCAGGCAGTAGCCCCAGGACCAGGGCTGCTTGGGGTGCATCCCAGGGGGTGCTGAGGTTTTCGTTCACTGTGTGCTGTGGCCGGTGCCCTCCCTTGCCCCGGGCTGGTTGCCCCTTTCCCGTGAGGGGCGGTGTGGGGTTGCTGGGTCGGCGGGGCCGAGCCCTCATGCGATGCCCCGCGCAGGTGAAGGCGGCCTTCACGCGGGCCTACAACAGGGAGGCCCGGCGGACCCCGTACGCGCTGCCCGCCGCCAGGGCGCCCCGGAGGCCGGCGGCAGCTGCGGCCGCCACGGAGCTGGGCGAGGACTCGAGTGTGGAGGAGGCCCCATCTGATGAGGAGGAGCAAGACACGCTTGAAAATGACGCCATGATTAAGGTGACTTGGTCTCCTGGGTAGAGCAGCACTGGGGAAACTGTCTTCTCCTAGTTCCTTTCCTGGCATCTTAATTAAACAGACCAAAACCACCCTAGTGTAGTAGGCTTTGAATGTGTTGTATCCCTAACAAATTGGTGACTGACAGCACAGCTGAGTTGGTGTGACACAACCTCATTGTTTGTCTGACACTCTCTGCTTGAACGTTGGCCTAGAGTGTGACGCTTGGCTAGTGCGGGAAGCCGGGGAGGAGTCGCCTGCAGAGCTGGGCAGGGAGGGAGGCAGTGGTGGGGCCAGCGCCCCTGGGGCGCAGCTCGAGGCCCCGTGCGTTTGGGTGCCACAAAAGCTGTTGCCTCCGTTACTGGTGCTGCTGCCTGCAGCGTGGGGAGCTGTGGGTCAGCCTGGGCCAGCTGGCAGCACTGCCTGCGGGAGAGCACGTCCTGTGCACGGAGTGGGAAGCCTTGGTAGGGAGGAGGCGCGGAGAGAAGGGAGAGGGGGCCTGGGCTCAGCTGCCTCTTACAGGATCACTCTGGAATACCTGCTTTTTATATGTGCACTGTTTACATTTTGGCTTCTGCTTCTCTCGGGTTACGCTTGCATTTTTAAACTGTTCCTTCTATTCATGTATTCTGTTTTTAGCAAAAAAAGGTAAAGTCTTCCAGGCTGCCAAAAACAGAGAAAAATGAAGAAACAACAAAAAAAGAAGGTAAAAGAAAAGAGAAAACGAGGCGCTAAACAGCCTAAGCTTGCTGTGGAGGCAGCTTTGCTGATCTCACTGCTGGCAGGAGCCTGAAACAGGTCCAGTGCTATGGCTGGGAAGGTAAATGTGGCTGGGAAGGTAGAACCAGTGCGTTGAAAATGCACCTCTTATAGAGGTGGTGACTTTATTCTCATACTATGCAGTGCTGTAATTACTCTTAGCTTGCTACAGAGTTACCAGCTCTAACTACTCTTGTAAAACAAGCACCCAGGTGCATGAACACGACAATGTGACAGTTACCTGGCATTATATTAAGTCTTCATAGGACTTTCTAACTTTTTACAATAAATTCTCTGCTATTATGTGGTGAAATCTTGTAAATAGCACATGATGCAAAAAATCTGAGTTGCATGTTTGTACAATATAGAGATTAAGCTGTGTATAAAATTACAATAAACTTAAGTTTCATTCAAGTTTTTAAAACCCTTTGGTTGTGTTTGTGGAGCCCTTGCTCTGTTGCACTCACTTGTGCACTCCTTCCTTCTGGGGTTCTGGCTTTCCTGCAGGCTCATGGTTATTTTCCTCTCTCAGCTTCCACGTCGTTAGGAGACAGGGCCAAGCAGGGATGCCTTAGCTCCGGAACATGAGGAGCTGCTGCTGTGAGCTCTGTTTTTAAAGCTGGAAGGAAATTCCTAAAGGTTAAGAATGGTTTAATGGAGATTACTCATAAAAGCTCAGAGCTGATGTTGAATAAACAAATACTGCCATTTTTGCTCAGGTTGGTAGTTGTTGTCCAGCTGTGTAATGGGGCTATGGTTTATATTAAAGTCTCTGATTTACACAGAATGCTCCCTACTTTGCCTTTGCACATGAAACATAAGCTTTGCTTAGTAGAAAGAAAATACCAGTTTTATTACTAGAACAAAGTACAAAATTTGTTAAAAGTTAAGTATTTACAGATTATCTCACAATAGAAGTGACATGGTCGTTAATGAATCTTCCTGGCACAAAGAGCTGTAGTGCAGCGGAACAGCCTTCCCCAGCCCTGCTCAGCACCAGCCAGCCATGCAGTTCTGAAAGAAACAGAAACAGTTACTTACTTCTCAAAAGAAAGTGTGATAGCAAATTAATATCTTCTCTTGGGAGCAGGGAAAGGCGTTTCTGGAATGTGGAGTTTCATAGGGCTCTGATGTCACGTTCCACTTCACAGTATATGTTCCACATTAAATGCTGTTTTAGCAGAAGAAATACTTTAAGGTTGCTGTGGTAGTTACCACTCTACAGAACTGATGCCGGAGCAAAGAGGCCTTGTTCTTTGGGATAGGAGTATTCCAAGCCAGTGTGTTCCTGTTGTCCTGTGATAGTTTCTGAACATTCAGCAGGCTCTGAATTCACAGTGCTGCTTGTGCTGCTTGTGCTGCTGGAAGCAGAGCCCGCACTGGAGAAGGGCCTGGATGTTCCAAAACAGAGTAGTGCGGAATGCAGATGTGTGACACCGTCCTGGAAGCGAGATGGTTTGAGGTGGGCCACCCACAGGACTTGCCCGAGAACTATCTATATCTGTATCTATCTATAAAACAGAGGGAAGATAGAAGCTGAATGAGGCCATCATCTGAATTCTTAAGCAGTGAGCTTCCTATGTTGGGAGAAATTTCTGTTCAGAGTCCTTTCAAATATGTTCTGGAAATGGGCCCTGTGCCAGAGGAAGCTGCAGCCCATACCTGAACTTAGTGGTCCACTTCTGGTTTGAGGTATTGTGTGCAGTCACTTATTTTCTCAAGATGACCAACGTCAATCCTTTCAGAGCACATTGGACATATGTTTTCACTCTGTAACATGCTATTTAAGAGAAGTTTGATTAGTTGAATTATAATTTAACAGACAGACATTTCAAACAGATGTGTGGGCCTGATGCCGAAAGCAGGGAGCAGAGCTCTGACCTGTGTGACCTACCGGGCCTAGAGCAGAGCAGCAGCTGCTCCTAGCTGGGCTTTGGAGGGGAGCCTGTTTGGGGCAACTTGGTGAGGGCCGTCACTGCACGTCAAAACGGGGAAAGGGTCCTGAGGTTGTGGGGTTGTTTTTTTTTTTTTCCTTTCTCTTCCCATGTTTATTTTTGAATAGCTGACAACTGATACCACACCAGGAAGGCTGCTGCTGTTTGCATGGAGTTAAGGGAAAAATTGCCAAGTAGCCAGAGTGGCTTGGGCTGGAAACTGCCCAACACTTGGAGGTTCGTTCCTGGCAGCAGCAGTTCCTGATCTGAACAGATGTGTCCAGTCCCCCTGTCCTGTGGGTAACAACAGGGACAAGCAGTTACTGCTTCTCTAGCAGGAACCCAAGTACTGTGTGTACGCGGGGTGGCTGTTCTTGGCGTGTTTTGCCAAGTCCTGTCAGTGCCTGGTCCTGCAGGAACCAGCCCCTGTCCTTTGGTTCGGTTTCTGCTGTTGGAGCGTTGCACCTACAGCTGAATTTCTTCTCTGGGACACTGCCTGATCTCCCTCAAAGCATCCCTCTGAGCTGGTTAGCTGGAACTAGGAGTTCTTTCTCCCTGGCTCTATTGCATGTTGCTTAGTACCCTGTGGAACAAGGTCTGCTCCCGCTTTGTGGCCATGGATGTGCTGCACCACAAAGGAGAAAATGAAAATCCCAACTTACGCTTTGAGCTCTGAATAGAGGGCGGGAAAGTCGCAGTGTGGGCAGACTGTCCAGTCGTCCCGTACCATGTGCCGACCCTGGAGACAAAAGCTGCAGGTGATTACAGGGAAGGTGCTGCCTTAGGGCCCAGGCAGCCTAGTTTGTGTTGGTTTCGTTGCAAAAGTCTTGGCAACAAAGAAGAGCTCTTGAGGAACTAAGAAAATCCCAGTAATAGTGTTTGCATTATCACAACCAGGACTCAGATCAGAAAAGGAGCTTGAGATGAAGTGCAGTTTTTTTCTTTATGATTTGCTTAAAAAATACAGTGTTACTGCTTCTGAAATTATTCTAGTTTAGCAATTTTGTAATGGCACCTATAAAGCAACCTGCAGTGTGTGCTGGATGGATGTTACGGATTTCAGAAAGGCTCCCGCAGTGCCCAGGCTGCATCCTGTGCTCCTGGAACCGCTGATGGATCCCAGACACTGCCTGCAGCTCCTGGTCCGAGTGCCCTCCGGAACCGCACAGGAGAGTCCCTCATTTCGGGGGTGGTTACTGGGCCGACCAGGGTGTCACAGAAGTAACAGGGACTTGCTCCTGATGCGAGGTAATTCATAGGTACCTTCTCACTGCTACATCAGAGCCTGGAACCCACTTCAGAGATGTAACTTCTGGTAAGATACTGGGCATTAAACTTGCTTGGACACTGACAGGGCTAGGATACAGGTAAACCTGCCACAGGTGTACCGATTGTACAGGTGTGGGTGAGATGTAAATGGACTATGACCAAGGCAAAACCTAAATTTAATGTGATATATAGATGAGGATGTACAGGACAGTTGGCTTATGAAATTTCCTATCTAGAAGCCTTGGTTAGTTTCCTTGAGATAATACTTGCAAAAGGCATTGGTCATGTGTTAAGCCAATGCTGAGACACAAAATTCCTTGTAAGATTATTTTTTGTAAGACAGATTCTTTAGTTTTAATAAAGAAATTAATGGTAACCTTTGTTTTCTCCTTAAGGAAATGTTTCTGTAACAGTCGCATGACAACTCAATGCATCAGCGCAACTACGAGCTCCCTGAGGCGGGCGGCGGGGAAGGCAGCGGCAGCTGCCTCCCCTCCTCGTGCTCCCCCTGCCCTGGCTCTTCGGATGGACTGGGTTTTAGGGAGAAGGGAAGGGTCTGTGCTGCCGGTGCCGCTGCGGCAGCCGCCCGGCCCGCTCACCGTTGCGATGCAGTAGGGGAGGCTGTTCTTGCAGCCCGGGCACAAGAGCTCACACTCCGGGAGCAGGAAGGCACAATAGGGACAGGAGGTTGTTGGCTCTTCCACCTCTGATGTGTCTGGACGCCTAGAAATAAAATAAAAAGATGAGGCAAAACCCAAACTCTTTGAACTTGAATAAAGATACAGAGTAGATGATGAGGTATTTGCATGTTTTCCAGTTCATATTTCCCTGTAACTGTCATCTATTCTTCCTCATGTGAGGTAAGAACAGGGCCATTTTCCATTTGATTTGAACTCATACAAGCCCTTTAAAGCTGTATCAGCACTTTAAAGTTTTTAACAGTTCCTGATCTTGCATTCACATAGAAGGGAAGGCTGCATGCACATGTATTTAGGATAAATCATATCCACCCAGAAAAGGCTTTAATAATCAATACCCTGTGTATGCAGAGGGTTGGACAAGATGCCCTCTAAAGGGCCCTTCTGACCTTAGTGATTCTGTGAGTCTATGATAAGTAAAGAAGCATTCTTAGGCCTCCAACTATGAGACGGTGAAATAGCATGAAAATAAGTTAAAGCCAGTAGGTTTTATGAACAAAACTAAATTATTAATAAAGCCATAATACTGTGTACATTTGCTGGTATCAGCGACTTAACAGTGCTCACCTGACCATGGCTTCAATTTTCTTTTTGTATTTAAGATCGATTTTGTTACGATACTCAGGTCTCATCAACATAGCAGCAAAACTGAAGGCCGAGTTTTTCAGTCCTGCTCTGTGACACTCTATAACTGCCGAAGTCAAGATTGGGACAATATCTGCAACAGATTAAAACAGCAGCAACGTTATTTACCAGGATCCCTGTGCAAAGCCTCGGAGCAGACAGGCCGGGAACGGGGCTCTGCTCCAGGGAAGGGGCAGGATCCCGCGCAGGCCGGGGGCAGGCCGGGGCCTCTTCAGTGCCCCGATTTGGGCACTGGCTGGGCCGGGCTTACGTGCTGGGAACTTGCTGATGTTGTTGGCCACACGAATAAGCATCCGCGCTCCCTTCATGTGATCGCCCCGTTTCACGTGAGCCTGGAAGGCAATAACTGCATCACCCTGGCTGCCGGCTTCCCTGCGAGCTGCGAAGGGCCACCCGTTAGCTCACACAAACCGTAGGGGCATTCTGGCTTAGTTTCATCTAGAGAAGGGCAGGGAGCTGCTGCTTCATGAATAGCAGCGTGGGAAGCAGAACATTTTTGTAAGCAAGAATGCAAAAGAAACAAAGCCAGAGGGTAGCCTTAATGATTCAGCAGCTATAAGAGAATATGCCCATCAAAGAGGTAGAAATAATAACCAAAATATGTGGCCTGTTCTCCTGAGGTGCACTGTTAGTGCAGCCTTGGACTGTATAATAAAACTGATTGCCCAAAATTATTTGTGAATATAGACCATCAGCCATATATATATATATGTGTGTGTGTGTGTGTACACACACATATTTTATCTATCTATCCACACACACACACACTCTTAAATAAATCACACTCTGCAACATTTATGTAACTTCAGTGTCTGAATTCATTACCTTCACCAAAATATAGCTGTGTAGAATCA